GTGGATAGTTGAGATTCCGAGTTGAGAGCCTATGACATCGGGAGGTCTTTGATGAAAATTGGGATCAACTAAGATTATTGTTCTTGCGTTACCCAAACATCTAGAAGATTGGCCGTTGAAGACAACTATCATCTTGAGATTTGATAAACTTGAATAGATCCTGAAATATTATGACAGTTCAACGTGAAGAAGACTAGCATGTTAATCTTGTTAAAGATATTCGAGAGATCGAAAATAAACAGACGGATCCTCATCGTTCTTATCTAAAGCTTAACAGATATAACCGTTAATCCATCAAAAGTTTGCCTAGAGTAAGAAAAAAGCTATATTTCCTCTCTTAAGAGAACCTTGCCTCATGATTTGCTTAGCCAATTTGGAATTGATTCCAGCTTTTACTAATTTGACAAAAAGACGTAAACGAATCAAAGTTAAGGAATGAAACAGCAGAGAAGAGGATTTACAACAGGCAGGAAAGCCAGAAGCAGAAAGATAGTTATTTATTTTTTTAAAGGCAATTCACATCAGGCCAAGCGGAAGTGCTAGTAGCACGCAAAGGGATTACAGAGAGATTAAAGAGGCGAGTTTGAAGAAAGGATACAGATAAGGATGGGAAACAATCTGTGTGTCAGATGTCGATTGACATTATACTTGAATATTTGAATATTGTAATCATCGTGGAAGCAAGTAAGGGGAACGGCCTTCCACAGGCGGGAAGTGCAGGAGAAGTAGCTCTTTGACAAGAAAGGACGGTTAAAGTTAACCGTTTTGACAGTAAAAGGGTGGGACCGAGATTCCAGCCTGGTAGCTTGTTTAATTTCATGTAGTGCGGGAACCAGCAAAAGTTGCGAAAATATTTGTAGAAGAGACAGGGGGAGGCCACAGCACGTTTGTGCTATAGCGATTGTAGACTAGATGACAGATCAGGACATATCATGTTGCATATTCCTCTCTGGATTTAGAGAAAACAGGAGCCAGTTCAGGAGTATATTTTTTTATTTAATACCATCAGGGATACCATCACATGCTCTCTGAGTATCCAGCTTGGTGATAACAGGAACAGAGATGGAGTTATAACAATATCGAACAGCAGAGACAAAATTCTACGTGTATAGTTAGGCAGAGATACACCTGATGAGCCAAAAACATATTTGGAAGAGAATGTACGAGCAAAACATTCTGGTTTAACAGGAATAAATGATAACAACTCCAACTAAATGATGAGGGGGGATAGAAGACACTATTACAGATTTTCCAGTCGTCACAAGAAACACAAATAGTTAGGCTTGTATTGTGATTGGAAATATCACATTGGTACAACCGTAAAAATTGATTTCTGTGAGCTCTATCGGCTGACTGAACAAGTGTGAATATATATATATATATATATATATATATATATATATATATATATATATACTTTAAAAGTCAAGAGGTCAGTTGAATCCTCTACCTCGGTTTCAACGTTAAGGTATCCTCAGGCGATTTTTAGCAAAAATAAAAATATACTGAGGATACCGTAAGGTTGAAGCCAAGGTATCGGATTCACCTGACCTCCTGATTTTTTAAATTAAAAGCTCTACATGTTATTTTTATTTTCATTTTATTTTTTCACACTTTTTAATACTAATGTTTCCTGGTCTGATTATTTCTGACTATTCTGGCTTGAAGCAATCGTATTTCTAGCCACAGTGAGAAGCGGATATACAGCGAAACAGTCTGTCTATGGATGACTATATCACACTCTCGTTATTTGGTTGAGCACTATAGAGATAAAGGTAATTTCAAAACAGTAGCCACCGCTCGCATTAGAGAGTCGATCTTCATTAAGGAATTGAGCACTCAGGCTGCTGGCATTTATATGCACCTGTATATAATACGTTTGAATTTGTCTTTCTCTGCCGTGTGCCGAGAAATTAGGGGTAGGATCTTCGACTGATGACAAATCGGCCGAGTTTCGATTCAGGGCTGAAGTAATCGCATGTCTAGCCAAACTGAAGCGCTGTGATACAGGGAAACAGTCTGTCTGATGACTATATATATATATATATATATATATATATATATATATATATATATATATATATATTTATATGTTTGTGTGTATGTGCTGACTAAAGAAAAAGAAACGATGTTATTTTAGTCAAAAAATAACTTGACAGATAAACTAACACCTTAGACAATAGAAAATCTCGTACAACGAACGGGAATGACCACAAGGCAAAATCCTACCATCGCAGTAAACTGCTCAACTCCCAGACTATCCAGACAGCAAAAATACTTCACAGTGTCACAACACAAGGACATCTCGTGTCGTTACTCATGTTTCAAGCTATCGTGATCTTTCTATGGCGACATGTATATTCCCTAGTCACTTTACACCTGAATGTTCTTTTATGCACAATTCTAATAAGCCAATGACGTGACATCCGTTTGATGAAGCGTTTAAACATATTTATAAAGGACTGCAGAATTTCCTTTAAATCATTAGAACAGAAAAAAAAGAAGCTTTCTAATTGACTCTTTAATGCTGCATGATTCTTAGTTCCCGGCAGGCAGATCTGAATATTTCAAAAACTGTTGAGGATATTCATTCTCAGCGAATGCTAGTATTTACAGGGAATGGTAAAAAATATTCCAGTGAGTGAACCTTGTTGGTTATATAGACCAAAGGTGAATGGTCAAACGCTTTCGAATTGATAGCAAAGCAACGATACCTGAGATAATTTCTCTTTTCAAGGGATGTATACTGAAGAGCGTCTTTGAACGGACAACACACCAGACCATTTGCAGTACATTGTGTCATTTAGATAAGGAAAACAAAAAATAAGAATACCATTTTCTAATAGTCACAAAATTGGGAAAAATAAAAGTTTAGAAACAATTTGTCTGTTCTTGATTTCTGTTGTCAGATTGGAATGGTTCGGTTTGAATTTGGCGTAACAGACAAGAAAGCATGAATCCATCCTGTCTTTGACTGAATGGTGTAATAACATGCGGAATGTTTTCGTGGCATACATTAGGAAACTTGTCAGCAATAAAAGGCTGCTTAAATGTTGTAGGCTATTTAGATATTGTGGTTGACGACATGACTCAATTTGTGATTTTTTTTAGAATTTAGTTTACCTTGTACAAGGCCGAAGAGTCACTCGAGGTACAAGTTTACAGATTATGTGGTACAGCTTATTCGGATATATTTAGAACATAACGGTTAACCCTAGAGTTGAACAGATTGTAGTAATTTGGGAAGCATCCTTTTGGGATACGGTTCTACAAAACAGTGGTTTTGAAAAGAAGCTGCTCGCGTGGAACCTAATCCCACCGAAGGAATGCGCAGATAGTCCGCAACAATGCGCCTCGCAAAGTGGGTCTTAATTGTGAAGGTTAGGAGCTGGGGAAGGACTGTTGGTTTTCCATGGAAATAGCGTTAGAGCAGCGAGAGAAATGGGCTGTACGATGAAACATAATTCGTAACTCAGAAATGCATTGATATTCTTTCGAACGGAATGTAATGATTGTACAACTTTGTCCATATATAGCAACAATACTCAATCTTCGGTCTGATCTAACTCTTCTAAAGATAAATTTTAAGATTAAACCCCGTAAACTAATTGTAATGAAAATTTCCATTCTGGTGTGAAATTGTCTGATTCATTTCAAAATATCAATAAAAACTGCGAAAGAAAAACGTTTAGTAGTTATACACAATATTAGTTCGGCTTTATTCTCGTCTAGCCCGACTAACATTACTATCGTTGTTTACATACGTTTACCTCGATAGCACTGCGTGGAAGCTTACTTATTTTTTACTGATCATATTATCTTCTTACTGCGCAATTCGCTAAATTTAATTTAAAATTCAAACATTGCGCAGTAATCAAGACAAGTGAGACTTCTGCGCATTATTGATCGAAGCAAACGTATGTAAACAGAGCCAGTAATATTAGCCGGACTGTATCCGTGACGTGAATGAGGCCGAACTTGTTGATAACTCTCTTCCGCAATCTTTTATTGTTATTTTCGAAATAAGCATGTAAATTTACACCAGAATGGAAATTTTCATTACAATTAGTTTCCGGGGATTGACCTAAAATTTAGACTTCTAAAGGTAGATGATAGCAGGAGGAGTCAGGTAATTGCTGGGCAAACGACCACATGGAACGTATGCATGAGTTCCACTTAAAGTCTCGTCACGAGGTGTCCCGTGGAATGTCACTAGTTTCTTTTTCGACTGTTCCAATAGGACAATGCGCATCAAAACGTAATGACAAATTGATTCATAGAAAAGAGCAGTTCTTTCTTGTTAAAGTGACGCTCGCTTTTAACTGAACCCAATCCCATAAATATATTTCGGATGAGATAGAACAGAAAAGTTGAATGCTGAATATGCAGCCATTGAATCTAGAAAAATTACAGAGTGTCATAATCACTGCATAGACTCTATAGTCTAGATGATAAGAGGCGGTTCCAAACGCAAAACGATTTGATAAGATTGAACCAGCTGGAAACGTCATCCAGAAATAGCATAACCTTTCAAGTTTTGAAGAATACCTTAATGACAAACCTAGTCCAACACTTTCGATATATCTAAAGCAACAGTCTAAAGCATTGATGTTTGTCAAAAAGATTGAATACGTCCGTAACGCAATCGACTGCCGTACATATTACACATTTAAAATACCAATTAAAATTCATAGACTACGAATCAGGTTAACTATTTATAGATATAACCATGTTTTTAATATACTTCTAAATAGTAAAATAAATTCTCAACATCACAAAGAAAAGATCTCTACCCAGAATTAAGATGTCTTTCACAAGACTGTCAAATGTTTTCACAAAGAATTGAAAATGTAACACATATATGCGGAGGCCTATTGGAATGGCTAACGGTGCCTTCTAAAAGATAAGTGAATTATTAAGAAACAGGAAATTTCTGTTGGAAATAAGTAAAAAATATATGTTCCACTGCTAAGTGACATCAGTCATCTATTAGTGCAGGCTTACGGCCATGCCACCTTGAAACACTGGTTTTCGTCCGATTACCGAAGTTAAGCAACGATGAGCCAGGCCAGTAACAAGATGAATGACCTTTAGGAAATCCCAGGTGCTGGAAGCTTAGATGTCCGCATGACGCAATGAATAACGACACTGAATGAGAACACAGAACGCCATGGGAAATCATGAACCCACCTCTTCTCCCCACAACTATTGGTTCGAAAAGATAATTCCTATCTCTAAAAATCGTTACTGTCTCCACAAATCATTACTATATACACAAATCTTTACTATCTTCAAAAATCATCACTATCTCCAAAAATCATTACTATCTCGAAATATTTTTACAATTGAACAATAGGTTTCGATTTAAACAGTATTAAAATATTCTGTAAGCCGTAAAAACGAATCAAGCTATATGACAATGAATGCTAGACTATTTATTCACAGATGAAAACGAGTGTAAAGCAACGCGGATGTTGTTCTACAGAAGGATACTGATAATAGCTTGGTTGAAGCATAAGAGCAAAGAGGAAGTTTTAATAAAAATGGGAACAAAAACACAGTTGTTTTTAGGATCGGGAAAAATACTAAAGGAAGCGAGAAGTAAACATTAATTATAAGAAGTAGAGGAACTAACATGTCTGGGAATTTTTTTAACACACAAAGAAAAATGAAGCCTTCTAAAAATAAGCAACAATAATATGAAACACGGAAATTTTATTAAGGCAACTAATTTAATTTAATTAACAAAGAAAAAGTACTGCACTGTTATGTAATATCAATCCCTCAATATGGCAATGAATGCTGGACGCAATTGAAGGGACATAGATGTGGTACCACAAAACAACTGTGAGAGTACAATTGATAGAACATGTGAGTAAGGAGGAATTTTTAAGAATAATGAAGAAAAAGGGCGCTTATACTCGAATCAGTTGAAAGTCATAGGACGCATAATGTGGGAATAGAGACTGGATAAATTGAAATTCATTGGACATATTGAAGGCAAACGGGGCAGAGGAAAACAGCGGGTAACCTTGCTAACAAAATTATGTAAATGAATAACAGAACAAGACGATGAAGGATAGTGAACGCATAGAAGTTTGTGAGAGCTGCAAAGGATGGGAAGTGGTGGAGAGTCACGATCACCCACAGACGGAAGAGAGATAGGACATAGATGAAGTCGCCTTGAGACATTTTCTCTACCACCTCAGATATATAAATACAATATTTGTGTGAAAAATATCGCAGTGGTTTCTTTAGAATACACAATAGGAAATCTTTTTGCATACATATTTTACATTTGTATACATATTCGGTTGGTGCAAAATTATCAGGCGTTTTTGTAGGCATGATATTTGTTAATAAAAATTGCTGTTTTGTTTATCTGTTTAATAACAATATTAAATTATATTCAACTTATAAAAATGCGTGTCGATAATCATACACTCCGGAATAATCAGTTAAAAATATTATTGTTTAATTGTTATGTTTCTTTTTTCCTAATAAATATTATTTAAAAACGCCTGATAATTATGCACCAAACATAAAAGAAATAGAAAAGTTCAGAGCAGATAACATTAGAAAGATTCTAGAGTTCCATGAAAATAAATGGATACAACATTTAAAACGCACTATCCGGACTTAACCATAAATTTAACAATATAGATAGTATTAATATATAACCTTACAAATCAAAACATATCCATATTTCTCACCGACACAATACAGACATGCTTACGGATGTATTGAGGCCTCACACTTATACAGACACCCACACGAATATACACACTTACACACATCATACTCACTCACTCCCTAAGAACCAAATAACACACACAGAAACTTAACAGAGACACATCACGTTTCCAGGAACCAATAAATCTGTCAAAATGACCAAGGAAAATCAGAACAGCATGAATCCATCCAGCTCATCTCAAATAATAACTAAAAAGAGAATGTTTGACCAACACAAAAAATAAAAAAACAAACAAAACAAAAGAGAACTAAAGGCAAAAGTTCATTTTCTCCATCAAGATATTCGTTTTTGTAGTTCACTGTTATCAGCAAACAGAAAATTATTTTTCTCCTGATGACGGTTCTGTTGGCCGAAACTAGTCGAGGAATCTAAATGAAATAATAATAAAAAAGAAGGAATATTAATATACAAACTAGTGTGTCTGAAGATTTTATTTTTTTAATATTTTTTTTAATTGTTCAATATATATATATATATATATATATATATATATATCAAATGACAACTAGAAAAAAACCTTAGATTTTACCGACGCGTTTCGTCTTCCGACTTTTTCAAAGGCAAAAATGAAATGAAAATCATCTGGGAATATATATATATATATATATATATATATATATATATATATATATATATATATATATATATATATATATATATATATATATATATATATATATATATATATAAAGTATATAATTGGTGTATACGGAATGAATTCTAATAACCAACAATTTTTTACAAAGTAGAGCAGATATAATTATTTATTTAAAAGAAATTATAGCATAACTTATTATAGGGGTCGTATACTTTAAATAATAATGATATGTCGCTGTACGTTTAATAGCTTTGTACTTTTATTGCCTGATGGTCATCCTGACGATATGAATGTGTATTGTATACCTACATAGTGTTATTCGTGTTTGTATAGATGTGTCTATATTTATTTGTGTGTTGGTATGTGTGTTTGTACTGCGGAATGTTTGTATATAAGTGTATTTGTATGTTGGTAGGTTTTGTATATGTATATATATATATATATATATATATATATAAAGTAAGAAGATTAAAAAGGAGAAGAGAAGAGGTTAAGAAATATAGATGTATATGTGTATGTATGTGTATTTGTATATATATATATATATATATATATATATATATATATATATATATATATATATATGTGTGTCCTGTTATATATTGTGTATCAAAATTTTATATTTACATATATTTTCTGTATGTATGAATGTGTTTATATATGTATGTTAGGGTACCTGTATATGGGTGTGTGTATGTATATGGATGTATATTTATGTATGTATATGTATGTACATTTATATATGTATTTGGTTGAATGTCGTTGTATTTATGTGTATGTACGTATATACGTGTACTTGTTATTATAGATAGGTATATTTGTATATATATATATATATATATATATATATATATATATATATATATATATATATATATATATATATATATATATATATATATATATATATATATATGAGTTGATTATTGATTAATACCCTTCTTGTCTGAGATGATGTCCACAGCCGTCTTCAGCCCAAGTGTAAACGCGTCAAATGACTTATTTGTATCGGCGTGAAGGCACTTCCACCGTTGCCTTTTCTGCTATGATACAGCGTATTTGCTATTTTGCCACAAGCAGATCGGGAAGAAAAAAATGCAAAAACAAAACTAGCGAAGATAGGTAGCATAATAATCGAATTGCACTTTCTTACAACACCTGGTGCACATATTCCGTTTCAATTCTCAGAATTCTATTTCCATTTCAATAAACACCATTCCTTCATCTTCAAAGAGAAATGCTTCTTCATCCATGCTTACTTAAGATAAAATAGAAGCACGCCAAGGTAGAAAGGCCGTCGAATCAAAGCTCCCGAATTTACAAAATGGCGGCAGCATTTCAATTCACATTCAAAATACGGATCAATTTAACTTCTCTAAGAGAAATTGACGTAATATTCATGAAGTATATCTTTGCATACGGATTCAATTATGATACATATAGAAATTTCTGTATGCCAGTAACGCTTGCATTTCTTTCAAGCCAACAACAATAATCTCTTTTCTGTTTGAATTTGTAGGATGTGGACTTATCTTTATTTACATTCGGAATAGCGTCCCCATTTTGGTTGTCGTAATCAGAAATGTTTCACTGATACTAAACTGATTCTCCAGTATCCACTGTCTAGTATTGTTACTTAATTCCACAAGAATTCGTGACCAGTATTTTCTTAAGGCACATATGCTAGGCTATAAAGTCCTCCTCAGTAGGACTAGCATATTCATACCTGATATGTCTCGGAAAGAGATATATTTGACCGAAGCAGCTAAGTGGTTTTGGCTAGTATAACCAAGTAGAATACGGTATCAGTAATCGACTGGTATGCGTCGTAGTCGCAGGTAAGAAGTGTAGATCAATGGCGTAGTCCAATCGGCGTCATTATAGACTTAGCTCTCAGACTAAGTCTCTTTGACTCTGTCGTACCTACACGTCCGTCGGTATTTATGACGGACACCAGCCAATTATATTCCAGTGAGGAGGAACACAGGTGTACGCATATTCCATTATATCAATACCATATAGGAGAAAGGAATAAGCAAAATGGTAGGATTTAATTAGCAGCAATAGTACTGATAAAAAATAAGCAGCTAGGGATGCAGTCAAGCGTGGCAGAAACATCAGCAAAAAGAAGAGAAAAAACATTATGTATAAGATTGCAAGTTATCGATTCAGAATTCTTCGGCAAGACAAAAAAATTCTTCCGCAAGACAAAGCCTAGGGAATTGATACGCTGGTCCGTGAATTTAGTGATTGTGAGTTCAATTCCAATGCCTGTTCTGTGAAACCTGATACCTGAGAGGCACTTAATAAGCGAAATATTATATATAATATAATATATCCATGTATATGGATATAAATATCCATATACATGGATATTTGCTTTAAACTATTTACTGTTAGTAAATTATGTTTTGTGTACGCACTTTCGCTATTTCTAGGGTCCTTCATTTATTTTTTTATACCTTGACAACACAACACTTTCTAAACATATATGGGAATTTAAAAACAAAACCCAGAAATAGGAAAATTGAATAACTGATTAGAACTCTTTCAAAATGCAGATATGTAAACAGATTTTTGCTGCGTTACTTGAAAATCGAAAACTGAAAACGAATATCTTTTAAAACACCACTAAAAATGCAACTATATGCAGTTCATTCATTACAAATAATGTAATATAATTTAAACAAAGCCAATAAATTAAATAAAAAAATAAAAAAAAACATCCCCTAAAACAAATAACATAGACAATAAAATATAAAATAAAAATGAATTAATTGAATAATCCAACTTACATATATTCTAATCCATCAACCACTCGTGCATTGCATGCTGCGGCCATATTTTGTCTGGTGTTCCTGCTATTCATCTCGAGATTCTTGACAAAATCCAAAGAAGGATCTGAAATGTAATCGATCCTAACTTTGTATCTTGACTCGAATCATTTTCTCACCGACGTAATATATATATATATATATATATACTAAACAATAAAAAAAATATTAAAAAATTAAAATCTTCAGACACACTGGGTTGTAGATTAATATTCTTTCGTTTTTTTATTATTACTTCATTCAGATTCCTCGACTAGCTTCGGCCAAAATATATATATATATATATAAATAAACGAAGATTTGTGGAAATTTCCTCTTGTTACGTATGTGTAGGCTCACCCAGAATGGCAAAATACTGGTCACAATTCTGATTACATAAATTGGGTGTCGGTAATTTGATAAACATGGGCGTGGATTTCTGACAGTAATGAATTTCGTTTAAGTTTTGATATGGACCCGAAAAGTTGCTATGACAGTCAGACATTGCAATAATTAAAAGGCTCAATACACCTCTACGCACCGTGAATGAAGCAACCCAGTATGTGGCGAAGAGATTTGGGGCAACCAATTGACAGGGGTCCTCTCGATCATTTCAGTCTGACTTCTTCCTTGTCCTTCATACAACAAAGGGAGGAAAAAAAAAAGAAAATGCCCATAGCTGATGCATTCTACACAATAACTATGTGGTCTGAAGAATTTAAGCCAGGGGACAAAATACACAACACTCTCATATTGCATGAGTAATAACCCCGAGAGATACAAAACGAGCAATTCATGGATTACTATTACATTTTTTTCTTTCTTAGAAGGAAGAAAATAAAAGAAATTACAGAGTTAGAACATTTATAATTTATGTATATTATGTAATATATCTATCATATTTATATATTATTTATATATCTTATATATTATATCTATAATTTGACTAATTCTCGTTAGAACGAGAATTAGTAAAATTATAGACATTCGATCGACTCCAAGATGTACACTATTCCACTGCTGAGCTGGCCAGGTACTCTGCTTTTCCAAGCCGAACCGTCTGTAGGCAGCCGGTCTGACGAAGAGGCGCATATGTGTTTGTTCAACACCGACACAGTCAACCTATGATTTATACTGAAATTAATTTCTGCTGATCTTAGTTATAGGTTCTGGGAGAGAGCGCGCAATCTGGCAAGATCAGCTGTTGGTACAATACGTACTCTCAAACCCTCGATCGCGATGTGCCAGCATAACGATCGACGGCTTTCGAATAGTTCTGTATACTTAATTGCAATCGCTCGGCTTGGGTTAAGCCGTAATATGGTTTCATGGAACCTTTTCCATGGCGCCTGGAAATAATGTGTTCGCCACTCGAGGTCGATAACTGGAGAAAGTTATCCTTTAACTAATCCTCTCACAGAAAGCGAACGCTATAATCACTCAACCACGCGCCCACTGCTTTGATCATATATGTCAATGATTGATTTGTTCTTTACGGATTATCAACCTTTTGCAGGTTATTTAAAGCCAAAGAAATATTTTTAGATTGCAAGACGTTTGGAGATAAAATTGAAAAAAAAATTACTGATCAAGTTTGTACCATTTAACCCATAACTAGGGTATATGTGGATTAATAACTTTCCTAAGGGTATATGCGTGTCAGTGGATAAACGACCCGACTGGAATTGGAACTCGGTTTTTCCGAGACGTTGTCTATTACAATACTAAATACCCAAGCTTCGACTGAATGTTCACTTCACTTCATACTAATGCTCTTTAAAAAGCAAGAACCCACTTCAGAACATCATTGATCATAGCTCCCCACAGCTTCCAGTTTTTCTTGCTATCAACGATATATAAAGTCTTATAATTCTTCATGGTACTTGTTTTCTTGCTCAAACTTTTCAAGGAAGCTACTGAATGTTTTTCCTCTGCTCCCCCTGGTTTTGCTGTATCTTATGAGTATTGAATTCTCCAAGCCTTCTTTTCTTATTATATGTTCTAAAATTTCACCTGTCTTTCTGATCAACTGGTATTGACAATGGTCGACGTTGCTTAAATTTGGTGATCGTGCGGGAACCGGTGTTTCTATGGGGTAAGGCCGTCAGCCTGTGAAATTGTATAAGAACAAATATAGTAATATAGGCAGGAATAAAAAAAAAGTCAATTAAAATTGATTAATATAATAATTAGAGTGACAGCTACTACTAATACTCCTAATACTACTAGTGATAATAATAATGATAATAAAGCAACCAATTTCCACTAAATCTGGCAAACAATTTTCTGATATTCTGTCGTTTTGTTCATCTTTTTCGTTGGAATATTACGTTGCTTATTTTTAGCCAGCCGAAATCACGGAGCTAATATGTAAATGTGAAAACGCTAAAGTAAAACGATGAACACGCCTGCTTTTAGGAACAATGCTACCAATAAAAATAGCCTTAATGCGATTAGATGAAACAAATAAGCGCCAATCCATTTTTTTTTTGTTTCCCGTTGAGAGCTTCCGTAATTACAATCATCGTCACAATCCCCAACCACAAGTGGAATTGGTGCCAACATCATTTGATTTAGTTTCTCCCGCTTCTTGTAAACATTCCTTTGCTTCTTCTTCTTCTTCTTCTTCTTCTTCTTCTTCTTCTTCTTTCTCCATTTTCCCATTTTTCTTTTTCTTTTCATTTCTTTTTCGTTTCCCTTCTCGTCTTCGTACGTTTATCAGCCCTTCTGGTACGGATAATTCTTATTCTTGTTCTTTTTCTTCTTCTTCTTCTTCTTCTTCTTCTTATTATTATTATTATTATTATTATTATTATTATTATTATTATTCTTTTCTTCTTCTTATTATTGCTTCTTTTTTCTTTTTCTTCTTCTTCTTCTTATTATTATTATTATGATTATTATTTCTACTTATTTCTTATTATTATTTCTTCTTTTTCTTCTTATTTCTTCTTTTTCTTCTTCTTCTTCTTCTTCTTGTTCTCCTTCTTCTTCTTCTTCTTCTTCTTATTATTATTATTATTATTATTATTATTTTCATTATTATCATTTCCTTCTCCATCTCAACTGTTTTCTCTTTTCCTTCGCATCTTTGTTTTTCGATTCTTCTTCTTTAGTATAAATTCTTCTTTTTCCTCTTTCCCATCTTTTTTGTTTGTTTTATTTTTGTTGATCATCATCCTCGTGATCATTATTCCTCTTCTTCCTCCTCTTTCTTTGTTTTTCTTCTTCTCTTTTTCGTTTTCTTCTTTTTCTAATGCACATTATCCGTCCCTCATCTTCTTCTTCTTCCCTTCTATCACTGACATCTTTTGTCTTTGTCCAACACTTTCTTTCTCTCTAACGGAATTTCAGTTTTCTTCCGATATTCCCTTCGACTTTCTTAATTTCTGCTTTCCACTCGTTCTTTGTTTGCTTTTGTCTTCTCATTCTCATTCTGATTTTCATTCTCATTCTGATTTTCATTCTCATTCTGTTTTTCATTCTCATTCTGATTTTCATTCTCATTATGATTCTCGTTCTTATTCTGCTTCTCATTCTCACTCTTTTTTTGATTCTCGTTCTAACTTCCGCCTTTCCTTTCTTTTCACAAATATCGTTTTCTTAATGCTAAGTTTTGTATTCCTTTCTTTCCTTCTTTCTTTCTTCATTTATTATTTGCATTCTTATTATTGA